AACCTACCTGGTTCAGTAACAAGTGCAAATTGTAATAAAGAGAAAGAGCGACCGGTAACAGGTGTCCTCTATGAAACTAGCTGATTGCAGGCTGCTCGATCTGGCTAATTCACAGGGTGAAAAAGGGTGGGACATCTGGATGGAGGTCGTCAGAAACCAGGCTAGTCTTTCTCGTGCCCAACTTAAACAGAATGTCCTCTATATTCTCATCTGCAGTAATTCTCACGAGTTAGAGGCTTCTCGGACCCGTTAGACGGAGAGCTGGAGAGCAACATCTCCCTCTTCTCAGAAGGGGAAGTAGAGAGAGAGAGAAGGGGGGGGGGGTGTTGCTCAACAACAGTTAGTTAAAAAAAAATAATTAAAAAGCACAGTTACCGTTATAAAAACTGGTGATATTAGGCTCTTAGCCTTTGGGTATTTTAGCAAAATCAAAAGCAGTGTTTATTAATTGAACACACTCACTGTTATGTCCTTATGGTGACATGTGAGACAAGGCAAGCTAACTGATTATAAGGACAAGTTCAGAAAGTGCTTTCTTGACATATTAAGTGATTGAAGTGCATTACCCAGGCTCAGTACAGATATATTTAAATTATATATCCAGTATTCCCATTAGCCTGGAGGTTTCTGCATAAAAAAGATGAGTAGCTGTCCGCTTTGTATGTCTCCCCCTTCCTCTTTGGCATTTCTGTTAGCTCTGCCAACCCTTGCAGCAAATCACAGAAGACCTATGTGACCTTCTCATTTGACACAGCATCTGTCAGTCATATTTGATCTTTTGACTCTGGCAGCAGAGCTGGCTAACCTGCAGAGCCTGCTTACAAATGTTGCAGTTATAGAGCCAAATAACATCAAACGGGAAGCTTGAAAGTTTTGAAAATTAGCCAACAAGGAACAAAAAAACAAAAAAAAAAAATGTAGTCACTGGCATGGAAAAGTCATGAAAAAAAAAAACTGTCCCCTGAATCACAAATAACCATTACAGATGGGTGAGATGAAGCTGCCTATAAGTCATAAAAGACAGCAAATCTCTTGGCTTATTTCTCTATGATTTTCTGAATTCTACTAGAGCTCCTCTAGATGTGCATGGAATTTCATTTAGCTCTAGCACAGGCCTGGCTTGTGATTCTTTAACGTGGACATTTCCTGGAAGTATGAAAGGAAAACTTGGCCAACAAAGCCAAAATAAGTCTCTTCTATTCTAGACAGAAGTTATTCTAAATGTTTAGCACCTCCAGACTACATGAAGCAGCCAGGTCTGGGGTATTTTATCTGTTTATAAAAGCATCTTTTTTTTGCCTCCCCTCCTCTGCTCTCCTTCTTTGGCACTGCATAATCAAGTGATTCACCTCTTTGTAGCTTTAATGCACCAAAGCAGAACACTCTGATGGATCACATAGGAGAAAAATATGGAGAGCAGAGAAACGAGGCAGTCATTTCACAGTGTCAGGCTTAGATACAAGCCCTTATGTGACATCCTACAAAAATAAAAGGAAGTTGCGTGTTGAGATGTCAAAACAGAATAAAGACGGCAAAGAGCTGAAAAGGTTTTGACTCTATAGCCAGTAATTGCAGATTAATGTGTGTAATCTGCACCTGTGAGAGGCAAGTCGCTCACATTGCAGCAATAATAACTATGCTGTTCATGCCTTCTTTCAGCAAGATGAAAACCACCCTGGATATAGACATCAACAAAAACATAGGTGCAAAAAGGAGGTGACGTTTTATCTGCCATTACTTTGTCCATCTTCTGCAAACACTGTTACGGTAATGCTATATGGTCAGAGCAACTTTAAACTGGAGAGCAGGGAGTGAGCTAAAAAAAAGAAAAAGGGAATGAGGTAAGAATGGGACCGAAGAGATAGACTGTGGCAATTGAAAGAAATTATGTGGCAAGGATGAATATTGAAGACCCGGGAAAGAGAGCAAAAACAGACAAGGCGTGTATGAAACGGTAAAAAAGGGATAACTTAGAAGAATAAGAGTGACAAAGGGAGAAAATATGTCTGAGGCAGGAAGCACAGTACATCTCCTGAGATTTAATAGTAGCAACCTGCCCTCGCCATACATCCTCCTGCCTACATCTCAATGAGGCACCATCTGTCACTGGCTCGTTACGTTCGACCCCTTCTCCCTCATAATCCTACCTTGCACGAAAACACAATGCAGGAAAAGGAAAAAAAAAAAGTGGAAGAATGACAGAGTTTACATATGTAATTCAAACATCAGGCCTCCTTCAACCTTGACTTGTACTCTGTGTGCACAATTATTAGGCAAGTGAATATTTTGACCATGTTATTTTTGAGGCATGCTTTCTAACTCCAAGCTGGATCAACTTGAACGCTTAATGGATTTATTCATAGCAGCTGATGTGTAATGAGAAAGGGAAGGCTATGGTCTAAAGAGGTCAACACGCCATCAAGGTGTGTATAATTATTAGGCAGCTTCTTTTTTTTTGCACAAAATCGGGGCCGAAAAAGAGATTTAACCAACTCCGTAAAGTCAAAAATCAACAAAAGTCTCTCAGAGGGATAAGTGTGTAAATAAACACACTTATTCCACACTTATGCACAGGAGTTAACTTTAAAATGTTGTGAATGCACAACTTGGTAGAAACTTTACAAAACTTTACTAAGCACAACAAAATAAATAATATATATATATATATTCAACTTAGTCCACACAAAGGCATTGCGGTAAGCTTACATCTGAATTATGCTCATGAATAGCTCATACAATAAAATGACTGGTTTGTAGTTGTTTTTGATTAATAATATTCTCCCCTGTGGTTGAACAGGCTAAGACTCAAAACAATCAGTGTAGTGCTGATTAACAGCTTGCTCTGAGCACTGAAACATGCAAACCAAAATGGAGGAGTTTCATGCTGAGGGAATTATTTGGTTGTTTGTGGCTATCAACAGAATTTGAAAAAGGACAAAAACAATCAATAGATGGAGTTCTATATATGTGCTGCGGCAAAGGGAAAATAACATCCAAGCTTAGTTGAATGGGCTTAAAGTGAAGTTAGTTTTTCTTTTTCTTTTTTTTTTTTTTATTCATCACAGTTGCTAAGAACTTCCTGTTAATTGTCTGTGATATTCTGTTTTCCCAGCATAACAATAAGATGTGTACCTGTAGATTATTCTGAGTTTCCAGGGAAATAGTGGAGTTGACCAGTAAACTGAAAAAGGTTCATCTCTTGATTTTTTTGTTTTTGTTTTCTTGTTTGTTTGTTTGTTTTTTAACTGCATGCAAGTGTTTTTGGGGTGAGTTAGTGCATTTTAACAGGAGAACAATACACAACAAATGACAAATCAGCACATTAAATGTTAATCTCACATAAAATCAGTCATCTATCAGCTCAAGTCTCAGGCCTAAATCCTGTAGAAAGGGATGAGCTGAAAAGAAGAGAACATCAGTGAGTCTCTGAACCTATTAAAGAGATTTTGTGAAGAATAATGGTTAGAAATATACTTCAACTGAGTGTTGTCCATCTCCAATTAAAAGCTACACACTTTAATGCATACTTAAATTATGACATTTTGTAATGTATGGAGGCATGGGAAGTTTATAGATTGTAACATCGCCTGAGCAAGAAATGTTGACTAAAGTCATTTGACAAGAGCAGAAAAGGACCTTTTTGTAGGACTTGATTTTACAGATAAAACATTTTATGTACTTTTTTTTTGTTTACTCTTTTACATAATTATTTAGAGATTCTTCATTCATAGTGCTCTTAACTTCAATGTTTAGAAATAAAAAAATAAAAGTGCTCATGTATGCTCTGGGTTTGTACAGCAAGCTCAGTTCTTTTATACATAGCATGCAACTTGTGCAAAGGATTCTTATATTTCGATAATGACAGACAATAGGCAATTTCAGCTGATGGGAAAGCTGTTGTAGGTGGGAGTGATGGCCATCCTTTTTTGCATTTATTTGAAATGTCTCTCAATAAAAGGATTTGGTTTGTTTCCCCCCAAAATTTCTCTCCTTAAACACTTCATTAAACCAACAAACACAATTTCACAGGCAAGCTTTAAGTACTTTCCACTGTGGAAATCAAGATAATTAATTGTTGTTTGCCACTCGTGTCGACTCCAATTTACAATTTCATTACATAGATTCTACCTGCTTTATTGTCAATTAACACAACAGCCACACAAGCTAACATCTGTGTACAGGATAAATATATTTAATATTTGGTTTTGTTGTTATATATTTCAATTCCAATATTGTGTGACATTGCCACTGCTTTGCTTAATAAGGTCATTCAAGGCAAACTAGTAAACATATAGTGGTAGAGGTGGAAGTATTGTACAGTACCATTCACTCTTAGATTTGTATGTATTTGAAAAGTCACTGCTTCTGAGTTTCAATCTTATTAAAGTATATTATATATATATATATATATATATATATATATATATATATATTTTTTTTTTTAAGAGGCTTTACAATAATTAATTCATGTTCTTCCATTTGTCTCGATACATTTGCAGCACTGTCATTTTGCTGCTTGGATTAATTATTTTAAATTTTGTAGTTTATTTTGAAGATTCTGGACTTTTTATTTTTTTTATTTTTGCAAAGTTCTGGTGATAACTCTTGACATCTTCATTCAGTATAAGTCCAAGTAAGAGAAGCTCACAGCAAATGATCCAGGGACCAAAGTGGATTTCTTGATTATTTATGACACAAATATTGAAAAAAAAAATAGAAAAATGGGGCTTGCAAGGTGAGAAAACACACACACACACACAAAGTATGCCTACAGACACGAAAGACATCGCAGTCAATTCACCTCCAGCGAGTTCAAGTGGCAAAAATGCTCCCAGTGAAACCCTTTGTGACACAGAACCTCCAGTCAATATGAGGTGTAAGGAAGGAAGGGATCAGTAGGCATAGATTTTAAAATACTATGGGGGTGGAAAAAGATATCAGAATTATAAAGAAAAAGAGGATGAAAATTGTTTTGTTAACGGGTGAGAAATGTCAGAGACATGAGAAGAAGAGAAAAAGATGAGGTCAGGTGAGGAGAGTTGGGTATTGATGCTACAGTGGGTGGTGTGGCTCCTCTGTCAGTCTTGGCACATCGTTCATCTCATTACACTTTCACTCTCCGGCTCCAGCATGCTCTCTGGTCCTCCCCCACGGCTAGCCCCGGAGCAGGGTTCCGTCCCGCCCAGCTCTCCTGTCAACACAAGCCCAACTCAGCAGCTCTGGCCCAGGCATCTGTCAGCCCACACAGTCCCCTGTCAGCCACAGCCTATTGGCCAGCTCATATTGACACTGCACACTGCGCCAGAAAAAGACTATAATATACCGCAGCAGAGCATCTATCAACAAAGCTCCCGGTGAGCCAGAAGCCGAGGCATCCATCACCGAAACACTCTTCCAAAACCTTGCACTGATCTCTGTGGGGTCTGTCGCTCGACAGCTTTAAAATCACATTAATTTGCAAAACATTTGGCTGAAATTAGGAAGCACTGACATTTTTTATTTATTTTTTTTTTCATGACAATGGAAACTCTGGGGTTGTTTTGCAGATCATAAGGTGGACTTTACAGATGGAGACACTCTATCTGTTTGCCAAAAAAATAACAAAACAGATGAATATTGCCAAACTAGATTACCTAGCTAAGATACTAAATTATACTAAAGCCTGAACCTCGGTATTGGGATGCATTTCCTTTTGTGTTCAACTGTGGGATTCTGTTTCAGTGACATTGAGTTCCATGGGAAAGATGAGTTGAATATGTTAGCAATGAAACCAACCAAAGACAGGTGCACTGTTTGTTTTTTAGTCTACGACTTTAGGACAACCAAGGAAAGACCCACCTTGACAGCTTCTCTGCTGAGCAGAAGTGAGAGCTACAGGCAGACGGCTTTGACGAGTGATGGGATACTCTCCACCTCACGGCCAGTGGCTCATTAGCGAGAACAGAAAATGGTTGCTACTGGGAGTGCTGTGCAGACTGAGCTGAGAGTAGCACAGACTCGGCATGAACAATTCTGCAAAAGAAAGAGAAAGCAAAGGCCAAGTCGAAGGAGAGACGGGGAAAACGTCGATCAATGAATTGTACATTTGATTTCAGCAATGTGCTTTTCACCTCTGCTCTGGAAAACTGATGAGCAGAAAATAGTTGAGAAGAAACCTGTTGAAAGCAGCGACAAGGACCAGGATGTGAGGCAGCCTTGGTGAACAAGAAAACAATTACATCAATAGGATTTGGGGAGAAGTTCTGTTTTACAAAGGTAATAATGAAGAAAGCATATAAACAGGAAAATCTTTTAGGAGGAACATTACAGTATAGTTCTCCGAAAGTGAAATAGTTTTTAATCGGCTTTGACTTTGTTCTATATCAGCAGTTTTTGAAGTGAAGAGAAAGTAGACTCCATAGTTAAAAATATATATATATTTAGTTGAAATTAACTGTCGAGGATGATAGTTCCATCCTAAATTGATCCAATTGTTGAAGAAATTTGCTATGAATTGTGCATATTTATTGGTAATCAAATGTAATGAGAACACAAATAATCTGAATCAGATTTATTGACCAATATTGGGAATTTGGTTTCACATACGGATAGTGTATAAACTGATAGGATATGATACGAAGAAAGGCTGCTTTTTGTGAAGATAGTGTTAAATTAGAGACAAATAAAATACTGACCTGTTAGATAACTTCTTTAAAAGTAAAAAAAAAAAAAAAGTCTGCATCCTGATGCCAGGACTTTTCTGCCAGATAAAAGCACCATATGGACAAACACTCTAGTAGTAAATTATTTATCAACTATCTGTCTGTCTTTCATATCTTTAAAAAGCCACTGGTTACAACACTGTAGACATTTGGAATATAAAATTAAACTGAGATTGAGAACGTATTGGGAAATTAAGTAAATATTTAAATTCACAAAGCCAAAGTGCGTTGTGTGAAAAATAGAAAAAAAAAAATAAATAATTTTTTCTCCAGTCAATAGAAAAAGATCTCCGGAGTTTTCTAAAAAGAAAAACCAAGCACATCTAACTAAAGTTGTTCCTAAAGATGAGGCTACAAGCCCCATCATGGACACTGGATCTTTTTCTAGCATAAATGTTTGTCATCACAAAAAAACTTTAAGCTTTTAGACATCAATCCCACCATTGACAGTTAACAGAGTAAAAATTATGCATCTATCTCAGCAAGCTTAATTTAAACAAAAAAAGTGACTGTCTCATATCTAAAAAGATAATAAAGTGACTGAAAGGTTAAAATAAACCCACATACATATATTTCAATTCGGTAACAGCCTGACTTTCAACTTATTTGTTCGTTCAGGTTAAATTTGGATGCTACCTATGTTTGATATGTTGTGTGCAGGAATAAAAATCTTGTCTACTGGGATGAACTTTAAGGAGGTTTTAGGCAAACTGTGAAAAGAGTCATTTCTCTCCACTTTCACTAAATGTTTGCTAAGTATGAGGGATTGCTGCAAACTGACTCAATACAATCAGCTGTGCTTCCTTGGATAGATCATTGCAGCGTTTGATCAACTGGCTTTAACATATTCTAATTAAGATTGACATAGAGTTCATGTGATTGTATCAGAATCGGACTTTTTTATGACTTATATGCAATATGTTTTCCCACTCGTCACTTTATATACAGAAACTGAAGCTAATCAGTGATGAAGAGAAAGCAAGTTAAGAGAAAACAAAGCCAAATGCAACCATTCTATCACCCCAGAGAGTTTCCTGCCTTACTGAGAACACAAAAAAGCTTCTCAGTTTGTCAATGTCTGCCTTCGGGTTGTATAAGGGTTGTAGAACAGTAACTCCTTAAAAAGTAAGGCTCGTTGAACACTCAACAGCATTACTTGTCTGAAGCCTTTTGTGTTTGTCAGACTGAAAAGGCTTTCACAAAAGGGAGGATACCTGCAGATGTTTCTGTATACCCACATACGTTTGTGATGAGGTAGTCTTGTTCAAAGATGCTAAAGCACATAAGCTCTGATCTCTTTCTTCTTTATTCTGCTCAGAGTTAGTTCCAACAGACCAACACCTCAACAGCTGAAACCAATACAGATTTTTATTTTTTTTTTCAGGATATACGGTGCCGATGATTTGTATGAAACCTGCATTGCAAGGTTACGTCATCCGTGAACGATTTTAAGTCAACAAGGCTCAAAATTTTAACGAAAACAAAGAAACTGAGTCGTAAACTAATCGATGCTCCGTTTTTGAGACGGTTGAGTCAGACTCCATTATCTCCTCCAGACGTTTCCTCTGGATTATGGATGGTTTTGGGGGAAAGGGTTCTTCCTCAAGCCCTGTGCATATAGGAAACTGTCTGAATCAGTTTAGCATGCTGCTCTTTTAATTAGACCCCTGAAGATTTTTGAAACTAAAATGGATAAGTGCTTGTGGATGAGGAAAGTGGGAGTTATATGTTAGACAGTCGATAACTACAGACAGCTATCACAGTTCCACATAAAGGGAAGGCGCATCAGCAGGGATTCAAGCTGCAAGTAAAAGCCATCAAAGATCTGACATTCACCTCCCACTGGGTCACACACTGGGGTGACTGAACTGTCACATTTGAGCATCACTGGAGGTCAACTGCCTCAACTGCCTCGCTAATCTAATCCCTCGTCGGCCAATCCAAAGTAGGGCGCTTAACCAAGGCTCGGAGAGTTGCATGAATTTACATATGAGGTACATCTATTGTCAGCTTGCATTACAGCTTATATCCATTCTCAGTTACTCTGACATCCTCTTACATTTACATTTATTCATTAGGAAGATGCTCAGCTCCTTCGCTTCATGTGTGTGATGTCTTAGCGTAAGCTTACCTGGCATTAAGCTCTACAATGACAGGAGAGAGTCTTTTTTATGATCAGAGAAAGAGGGTTGCTGTTAAAGAGGATGTGTTTATCACAAAGAGATGGCTTATAGGAGAAGGACAAGTCGAGAAGGACTGCAAAAGAGAACACTTACAAATTTTGATGTAGTTTATTGGATTTTAGGTGATAGACCGATGCAAAGTAGCCTGTAATTGAGACATGGTAGGAGGCGTGAAGAGGGTTTTAAAAAACAATGTATGCATTTAGACCCACTGAATCAATACCTTGTAGAACTATATTTTGTTGGAGTATGTGTTTACCAGCTTTGGACATATAGAGAGTGAAATATTTACCTTCTTTATAAAATACTGCAGCTCAGGGCTTTTCAAATATGGGGTAAGTACCCCATCACCCCCCTCATCCCTCTGTCCCACTCCGGGTGTGCAGCTCTTCTGGGTGGGGGCAAGGGAGCGACATTAGAAAAAAAAAAAAAAAAAGAGAGGCCTTTTCAGTCATACTGACCACCTAAAGTTCTTTATAGTATGAACACATTCACTCATTTCATTTGTGCTCACAAATGTACACATGTTCGAAAATCGATTCGCAGATTGGTAGTCAACTTGGACAGGAGGAAGCTGGAATCAAACCCACAGCCTTCTGATTGCAAAACGACTATTCTGTCACTGATCTCTATTCAGGCACTTCCATTTATATCTCAAAAATCCCTTGTTTTCATTCATCATACATGTCATTTTTCTAATATGATTTCTCTTCTGTTTGTATTCATTAAAAGGTGAGCTGGGGTGTTTTGTTTCTCCCCCTCCCCCCAACCGCTTATGTGGCGTTCTCTTCTTCTGTGTTTGCAGGTGTTATGTTGATGACAAAGTCTCCAAGGTGGCCTGGCTCAATCGATCCAACATTATTTTTGCTGGTGAGGACAAGTGGTCCCTGGACCCCAGAGTAGACCTGGTGACTAAAGGGCAACTGGAGTACAGCCTACGCATACAAAAGGTAATGTTGACCGCTGCAGTACCACATCTGAGCACATGATGATAAGAAGAAGAAAATATGTGCCATAAATAGTTTAACACTGAAAATTTAGTTTTTTTAATGTCTATCAAAAAGATAGACATGTTCTCCAGTCTTTTCCTTTTTGAAGGATAGCCAGTCTGTCATGCTATATTAATACCCCATAGAAAAAGGAAGTTGTGGCTTACTGATTGAATCTTCCTAGTCACAAGGATCAAAAGGCATATTTTATCCATTTTTTTTTTTTTTTTTTCATTTTCAGGCTTGGCAGTCATAATTATATTCATTTCCACAAGTCAAGAAATTTGTGGGGGAAAAAAAAAAAACTGAGTGCAAGCAAGCCAAGGACACAGCTTAAAGTTGCCAAAGACTGATAATGTTGGGAATGAAACATTAAACCCAGGCATAAGTACATAATGCAGTGTCCACCCAAAGATTGTAAAGTAAGAAAGTAGTGAAAAGCATGACCCGTTCTTTAATATGAGCTCATAAGGCTAAGATTCATGTTGATTTGTTTGATGAGGAGGATGAAGTCAGGAGAAATGTTTGATGGCAGTGATGAAGCCTAAGACACCCACATCAGACCCAAAGATTTACAAATTCTCTGGGGAAAATCCAGCCTGCCTGTAATTCATAATGGTGGGCAAAGACCCATTATGACAAAAAAATATGATTAAAACAGAAATTCTGGCAACATTTGGGTAATTTCTGGCCCTTCTTTTTCACTGATGCTGTGTGTAAGACTCCGTTTGTCAGAGGAAGGATGTTGAGCTTAACCTAATCTAACCCAACATAAAATACCGAACAAAAGAGTATGAGAGCAAATCATTGACTGGGGACTGCAGTTTGTGTTGAGTATAGTATTCTCTGTGGCTGGAGGTGAAATTTGAACAGAATAATCCAAACAAATCAATGCAGAGAATTAAGAAGGTTAAATTAAATCAGTAAAAAGTGCAGAAAAGCAGAAAGAGGTTTATGTTATAACTCCCATTTGTGGTCACATTCAGCCACAATAAAGCAATGATCTTTAAAAGTCTTTAAAGTTAAGAGACCATTTTTAAGGCAACTTTTGCTTGCTTTTGTTTGTGTTTTTGTTGCCTCCATAAAAGTTGGCAGTCTTCTCAGAGAAAACCCCTACCATGAAGAGGGTTATTGATTTTGTTGTTGAACCAGACTTTCTGGAAACAGAGGCATGACTACGAGACCTCTGTTTCCAAAACGGTGCAAACTTCAAACATGTATAATAAAATGCATGAGCGGTGGGAATAAGTTCTTATGTTATTTCACTTTTTCCAAAAGTCTGACTGATTTCCCTGTTAATTTAAGTATATCATAAGGTAATTTTGAAAATAACTTGTCTAAATAACCAAGATTTAGAATGCAAGTATGAGGAAAACTGTGATAATGAAGCAATAGATACATTAAGAGGTTTGTAAAGTTTTTTTTTTTTTTTTGTAGGAATGTCAAAATACAACTTTTTTAAGAATATGACAATAAAAATTTCCCTTTCTTCCTCTTTAGGTGGATGTGTATGATGAAGGCTCATATACCTGCTCCATACAAACCAAGCAGCAGCCTAAGACCTCACAGGTGTACCTCATCGTACAAGGTAAGCTGCAAACACCTGCTCCCAAGGTCCATACCGCATGGTTTCCCATGGTTACCGACGAGATATACCTGGAAATTATCTTAAAACTTGCTCTTTTAATTTACATTCTTCTCTGACATATCTCAACTGTGTCAAAAGTCCCAAGCTTAGCCGGTGTTCTTAGAGGCAGCAGACATCATTACCACTCTTCAATTCCTTAATGTGGAAACATGTCGTTCTAAGATCTTAGCAGTGAAATCTCAGAATGTGCTCAGTGAGAATACACAGGCAGTTTGATACAATTGTCTGCCCACAGCAGTACACTCCTTTTCATTTGCCATTTCAAATGATTTCTAAGTGCACTTGACAAGCCTTTTTAACATTTGTCTTATATAACATAGAGCATGAAGGTATTTGTCCTGAAAGCGGTAGAACTGACAGAAAGACATGATCAGAGGTGCTTTGGGATTTTTTCCTATTCCATCTTTACATGCAGGCCAGAGCTACTGGTTGATGTAATGATACATTCCGCTTATGAAACAAGACACGATTTTAAATTTCTAAGAGACAAGAGATATGATTGTAATGAATTTAAGCATCCACTTTTTTTTTTGTTATGTTTTCACTAGTGATGTGTCTTCTGTGTCAAGGCTTCAAAGCGGGCCTCGCGTAATTCAGGAGGATTGTTATGAAGCGTGTATCGAGTCCAGTGTTGATGGTGTAGGCAGTGACTTCTGAAATCGTTTACCATAATCAGTTTTTGCATCTCGATTGACTTCCTCAAAGAGGAAAAAAAAAGGCAAACAAGCTTAATGGCTAGAGCACATCCACGTTCTGCATTTTCCTGAAAAATGTTCCTCCTTGTTCTCTGACGATGCGGCACCAGATCTTTAATAGAAACATCAATTCGTAGATAGTCCATACAACGAAAAGCAACTTCACAATATATTTTTTTAATTATTATTATTATTTATTTTAGATGAAGGAAACTTGGGTCCATGTTAACATGCATTATTTTAATGTGTTGATTATAAAGCTTTCATGAACAATAACAAGATCAATATTTAAACCCAAAATATCAAATACTGAACTGAAGCCAGTCCTAAAAAGAAAAAAAAATGCTTACTCAAATTTAAATTGAATCCCCTGTAGTCTATTTTGTCTACATGCTCTGTAACCTCTTTGTTCTTTTAGAGAAAATGCGAATATCAAGATACACTGACTATTATATTAAAAATATTTTTATTTGACGTATAAAAATACGTCAAATAGAAACTGCTCAGATTGAAGCAACTGAGCAGTTTTGTAGAGTATTTACCGCTTCATTTCTTCTTTCAGTCTGCTTTGGAATCATAAATGAATGAGAGAAATGGGAACACCTGATGCCGCACCAAGGTCAAAACAGACGGATTCATTATCTTTCCTAATGTAATTGTATCCGTGCCTTCTTTTGCAAAGCAGCAGTTACTGTAGTTTGTGGCACTTGTTGCTTAGCTCCTTTGTATGGAGGTGACGCATGTGGGGGAGGGCATCTGAGTTTCACCTCTGAATTATGAAAACACTTGACAAACCAGATGCGTTCCCATCATTAGCGAGGTTTGTTCCTTTAATTCAGGTGTGTATTATGTGTGAGTTGGCCATACATAATGCACACCTGAATGATCATGTACGAGTCGGCCAGTGAAAAGTAAGCCCAGTTAAATACAACAGGCTGATGGATAAATGCACTTCTGCATAATGTCACCTCAGACAAAACTCCACGAAGAGACTCTCTCCTTTCATTATGAGCTTATCAATTCATCCATTAATAAAATTTCCAAAGGTCAGTGCTTGTATTGATGCTGCTCCTCTGGGATTCATGGCTGCAAAACTGCCCGTCCTTCCCAGAATCCATTGCATGCGATTAGTCAGTGCTTGATCATCTGAATGTCCTGTGTTGACTTCCAAAGTTTCTGAAGGAAGGATCGTTTATCACAACTAATGCAATAGTTAAAGCCAAAAATTGATTTCTCTCTTCTTCTTCTTTTTTTTTTATTCCCGGCCGTTGTGTCCTTTGTTTCACCTTTTAAATAAGATTATTAATTCTGCAGTCATCGGTGCTCAGCTCCTTGCTATGTGGGTGTACACTTTTCTTTTATTTTATTTTAGCTCAGTATGGTTTTGCTGATTAAGGACAATTGGGTTCAGAAATTGAGAACAAATGTAGGCAAACAACTGGCTTTAGGGTGCAGATGGAAGAGCTCATAATTTGTCATAATAACTAATAAATGCTTAATGAACAACCCAATACAAATGTAAATTCAGCTTCTTCAGCGCATCGGTTTTGCTCACCCATTCACTCGCTTTAGCTCAAATCTTTCATTCAGAAGATAAGAATGTCCCTTTGTGTGCAGCGACACTTGCACCCTTGCATGCAGCGACCTGAACCAACCCCCCACAAAAACCCAATCAACTCTGTAGGATAATAATTCACCCTGCCTTCATCTTTTAATGGGTATGGAAGTCCTAGGCATCAAACATTGCCCCTGGTTACAGACTCCCAGATCAGGCTCACATAACCAAAGCTGACAATTTTCTGCTCGCAGGGACAGGGAAGTAATTGGAAAACAAATGGTCAGACAAAGTAAATTTGTGGAGGATGAAAAAGTGGCAGACTTGTGGAACCTGCACAAGAGAAACCAAGCAGCTGAGTGATTGCACTAGAAATCCCAATATAAGGTAGACTCCCTACTCTAATCTGCTCAGATTTGTTGATTTTTTTTTCTTATGTGCTAGAGATACAATAATTTATTTATTTATTTATTTAAAAGTAAAGGATTTGTACTTTGAGGCTGTGAAAATATGTGTCAAGGAACTGGAAATAATAGATAAGATACAAAATTGATTAGCAAACTAATTATTAGTTCTGACCACATCTTTAAAATAATAATAATAAAAAAAAAATAACATTATCTATTAACAATCTCCCAAGTCTTTCTTGATGGTCCTCACACTTTGACAAATTGTCAGCAAGTGAAGAAAACAATAAAACAAGTGAGGTGAGCTGCATACTCTCTGCCTCCTATATAGTTGTGGTTTAATAATTACTCAGTAACCCTGAAGTAGCCCCCCACCCCCCGATCAGTGTTGGAGTAACTTCCAGAGTGACTGCCTTTGATTAACTCCTGAACTACTTCTTGCACTTGTTTGTACAGTCAGGCACATAAAGCCTCGCTTAAAGCCATTATTTTCTACAACCCTGTAAGGTTGCAAGGTCCTTGGTTGTTAGTTTGGCACAGTCTGTGTCTGCAGGTTATAGCTCATGTGTTGTTCAGGCAATCAGCACATGTGGGTGATGCTGTTGGGAAAAAAAAAAAAAAACAAACAAAAAAAACAAATGCGTTCAAAGTAACTTAACTTAGGTTTTGCCAACTTTAGACTAAGAGAAAGAATTTAATAAGACTGCAGTGGTAGCCTGAGCTGTATTTTAGTCAGGACTGACATGGTTTACCTTTTGGCACTGATGAATTCATCTGGGTGCAACTAGAAATAGTAAATATTTTACATTATTCAGTCTGTGCTTTGAATTGTGTTTGTGGCCACAGATAATGAGCCATCATGTTCCTCAAACTTCCACAGTTTCAGTCAAACCCTCACAACTCTACATATGTCTGTCAGACTGTCGGATATATGCAGATTCAGCATATTTTGTACAGTTTTACTTCCCATCATGGATGTCAAAACACACTGCAAATCAGCCAATCACATGGTAGGGGCTCAGTGCATTTAGCTTTCTAGATGTTGTTAGTACAACTTACTGAGGTTTCACGTACAAGAACCTCTCAGGTTTACAGCGACTTGTTAAACGAGAAAATATCTGGTGAGCAGCAACTCTGCGAAGGAAAATTAAATTTTCATAGAAAAGTGTGAAGTTGATGGTCAATAATAACAAGAGATCGCATCAGATCTTGCACCTTTTAGGTAAACTCAGGTAGTTGAGGCTAAGATCCAACAACTTAGGCAAAGTTTCACAATAGCAGATATGAAAAATGTTGCCTTTTAAATTCAGATGACGCATTCAGATGGAAGTGTCAAATGTAAACATGAATGTATTGATCTAGCCTCCGTTCCATCAACACTCCAGGCAGCTGATTACAGTGTAATAATGTGAGATATATATATATATTTTTTTACTTTTTTGGTACCAACTAAGCATTGTTTGACACTATCGAGCTTTGTTTTCAAAGTGGCTGCTGTCATGTTGCATTTTTTCTGACTTTTACATCAATGATGCGAGGTGTGCATCATATTTCTGCCCCAGAAGCCACATGTGGTAAATCCAGACATAAACAATAACTGAAAAAGTTATAGTTATGAAATTATGAAAGCCGGGGTGTCAGTGGAGAGCACCACATCCCAATACCATCACTCCTAATTTGACGATGCATCCAAACAGACTAAGGTATAGAAGTTGCGGTCAATGTTCCACAGAAAGACATTGCTATTACTTGTGCTTTCCTTTTATTAGCTTCCCCCACATTGTTGTTTTTTTATGACAATACTGTTGCCTCTGAATAACTTTGAAATTGAGCCACAGACATTATTACTTCTGTAAATAGCATGCTGCTGTGAGACGTCTGTGTTCTTCTTCTTCTCATTGCAGTCAAGGCGGGGTACATCCTGGACAGGTCACTAGTCCACCACAGGGCTAGCGGTACAGATACCATTGCAATAATTTAACCTGATGAAACCAAAGTTATGCATTGTTTTTTATTTTTTATTTTTTTGTTTCGTTTTGAGTATATTTCGATAAGAAGCCATTTATCCTGACAATGTTTTTACGGCCATGACAGGCCAATCTACTGATTGGCTTCCTATGATTGCTTTTGGGACCACAGTGTGTCCATTTTCTGATGAATGCTTCCAGCAGGATATTACATCATGTCTCAAAATGGTTCTTAAACATGTCTGTGTGCTGTACATTAATGACTTCCACAGCCACCAGCTACTAACCCAAAAAGGGATGTGCTCTGTGGACACAT